GTTGTTTGGCAGGTCCGGGCTGGGGATTCGAACCCGCCACCTTAGGTGTACGTGGCTGGCGCCTTAGCCGGTTGAGCTATAGGTGCCGAGCCCATACGATTTTTTTAATACAAAGAAATACTTCTCTGTAGATTTTAAATAGATATAAGTTGTATAGTAATTTAGGCCATTTTGAAGGTTGAGTACTATAAAGCCCATTAGCCTGATTAGAGCTCAGATCAAAATACGTGGACTTATCTGTAAACCTCCCATAAAATTCATTAATTTTAGGGTACTTTCATTGGCAGCTACCCTGTTTCCCCTCAACTTACAGTTTTTTATTTCTTGCAACTGAGAAACTGTTGTAATGCAGTTACTTTCTTTTAGATACACAGGTAGAAGTATTTGGAAAACTGCAGCAGATAGCACAGAGGAAGAGGGGGCTGTCAGTTTGATTTGTACGATTCTGAAACTCAACCTCATTAATTTTGATAACATTAACATAATAGAAAAAGATGTGCTAGGTTGAACTATATTAATATACCATTTATGTTCTGAAAGATACAGAATGGAGTGGGGATATTTAACCTGTGTAAAAGAAGTAATGCTCTCAAGAAGCATGCTTGAGCAAAGGTTGGTGGGTGAAATGAGAAAACTAAGCAATGTGGAAGCACCAATTATGGATGGCAAAAGAATGATTATAAACCAGGGAAATTTCTGGAAATGCTCATCAGGCTGCCAGCTCCTGGCAGTAAGCCCCAGTTGCCGCTAATACATTTGTAATATGACTGCACTGCAGCAGCTGCTCCTGCTGCCGCTGCCACTGCCACCGCCACGATCAAAGCTCTCTAGTTACCTGAACTGAGAGACCGAAGTGCTTTAGCCTTATTTTTGAGGACCTTGATGTTTTCTAGAACGGCACATAGGAAAGATATAGGGGGTGGTATGGGTTATTTTTCCAGCTGATATATTAGAATAGAATCAAGCTCTTCTCTATATATGTATAAATGAATGCTTTATCTAGAATGAATTATGAGGAGGTAAAATTTCTTCAGGTGATGAAACATTTTAGCTAGTTTTAAAGACTTTTTATTTATTTATTTATTTATTTATTTTTTGAGACAGAGCCTAAAGCTGTCACCCTAGAGTGCCATGGCGTCACAGCTCATAGTAACCTCCAACTCCTGGGCTTAAGCTATTCTCTTGCCTCAGCCTCCCAAGTAGCCGGGACTACAGACACCCGCCACAGTGCCTGGCTATTTTTTGGTTGTAATTGTCATTGTGGTTTGGCAGGCCTGGGCTGGATTCGAATCCATCAGCTCTGGTATATGTGGCTGGCGCCTTAGCCGTTTGAGCTATAGGCGCCAAGCCGTTTTAAGGACTTATATTTTCCTGTCTCTTCAATTGAAGTCTACTCATATTCTAACCAGAGTCTCATGACTCTCATTTTTCTTTGTTCTGTGGCATAATACAGAGCACAGTGCTGTACTTGGTTTTCCATTTCAACTACCTCATCACTGCTGGGCTCTCATCTCTCTTTTATATTGCTTCCTATTTCCTTTTATTTTCACTATTTGAAAAAAAAATTTAGAATAATGTTGCCTAAATCTGGCTGAAGTGTGTATGTGGGTATTGTATTCTTTGTACTTCATTTCATTTACTTCATAGTGAAGAGAACTGAAGGTTAAGTAAGAGTTAATGATGTAATATAATACTATGGGTTTATAATATAGCTATATACTTTTTCTTGTAAGCTATTTCTTTTGATTATCTCACAGTAAGATAGGCAAATAACTCTAAGATTAGGCAAGTAAATGTTAACTATCATGTTTGTGATGAAAAAGGTAGAGCTGGGCTTGAATTTGTTTTTGTTTGTTTGAGACAGAGTCTCTGTTGACCTAGGCTAGAGTGGTGTGACAGCAGCCTAGCTCAGAGCATCTTCAGACTCCTGAGTTTAAGCAGTCCTTTCAACTCAGTCTCTCAAATAGCTGAGACTACAGATGTTTGCCACAACACCCAGCTAGTTTTTTCTTTTCTTCTCTTTTTCTTTCTTGAGGCATAGTCTTACTTTGTTGTCCTCAGTAGAGTGCTCACAGCAACTTCAAACTCTTGGGCTCAAGTGATTCCCTTGACTTAGCCTCCCGAATAGCTGGGACTATTGGCACCCACCCATATGATAGCTGGTATGATAGCTCACAGCAACCTCAAACTCTTGGGCTCAAGTGATCCCCTTGACTTAACCTCCCCAGTAGCTGGGACTATTGGCACCCACCACAATGCCTGGCTATTTTGGAGACAGAGTCTCACTCTGGCTCAAGCTGGTCTTGAACTCATGAGCTCAGGCTATTCACCAGCCTTGGCCTCCCAGAGAGCTAGGATTACAGGCATGAGTCACCAAGCCTGGCCTTAGTTTTTCTATTTGTAATAGAGACCGGTTCTTGTTCTCACTCAGGCTGATCTTAAACTCCTGAACTCAAGGGATGCTCTTGCTTTGGCCTCCCTGAGTGCTAGGATTATAGGCATGAGCCAGTGTAGTTGGCCATTGAATTTGGTTATTTGAGTGGATACCAAAGTTCTTTTTATAATTTTTTTTTTTTTTTTTGAGACAGAGTCTCACTATGTAGCCCTCGGTAAAGTGCCATGGCATCACAGCTCACAGCAACCTCAAACTCTTGGGCTTAAGCTATTCTTTTGCCTCAGCCTCCCAAGTAGCTGAGACTACAGGTGCCTGCCACAACTACTGGCTACCAAGGTTCTTTTTAAATATTTGGTATAAGTGGTGGTTGTATCATATCCCCAGAAAACTTGAGAATATAAAGCTATGTTCCAGAGCATAAAGGTTGCTGAAGTGATTTCTAGATCAGTGGTTCTCGTGCTTTTTGGGGCTCAGGACTCCTTTTAATCTTAATCTGGGCTGGATTCAAACCCGCCAACTTAGGTGTATGTGACACTGAGCCAAAATTGAGAAATTTTAAAAATAATAATGTACTTAAATTCATTCATGGTCTCAAAGTTGCTTTTTTTCCTTACTAAGCCCTATCATAAAATTTCTTAGTTTGAGAAGCAGCACTGTTTTACACTTTTATAAATATTGTTAATGCCTTGTCTGATTTATAGAAGACAGCTGGATTCTGCTTCTACATTCCGTCTGTTGCTTTACATTGTTTTGTTCAAAGAGTATGATATACTTCAGCCCCAGAGAGATATGTAGTTGGGAAGGTAGAAATATTTTAATAGCT